TTACGGTAGCTAATTTACGTTTTCAACCCAGTTGTTAACACTAAATTACCAGCTTTAGCTCAGCTCTGTGTTTTTCACTCTAATGTAGAACGCTCTATCAACCAATGACAGCGCGTGTTCTATCCGAACTTAACCTTAACACAACATAATTCAATGTCTGCTACGCTTCCTAATTAGAGAGATTTTCGATTGAGTTTTGTAAAACCAAAACCAACTTGATAACATCGGCCAAACAGATAAAACGTGGACATCACAAGTAGTCAACGACCTCAAAGGCGCAAAGTGGATTGAACGAAATTGCAATTGGATTCAATTCTAGAGTCTGCATAAAGACCATGGCGCGAGTTCTCTGAATCATTCCTATAGCGCATTGAAGAATTATCAAAGCAGCGCCAGATTGTTTTCAAAATTCTATCGAAAATTGCTCATGGTTCGCATGATTAGTGAACAGAGAAAAGTAGGTGACGTGCCTGTCACCTACAAACAACATGTCAAAAAACCGCAAACAATAAGCCAACAATGAAAACAACTGACAACTTAGGAATAATTAGCATTCCAAAGTTTCACGAAAACCATTTGTCGGTCGGCAAAAGATATCTCGTCATTGAAAAATTTCATGCTACGGGCGCACGCTCTAAATAGCAGCAGTTTCTAAATTTGGATCTCTTTACAATTTCGCCGACTTAATGTAATTTTAAATTTGAACAGGAATTCGTTATCAGCAACAAAAAGATAATATTTTATCATGCACTTAAAGGGCCCTAGTCAAATTTAATTTCTTCTCAACAATAAGCATTTTCCTCTTGTCATATCACTTACATTTGTAAAGTTGCTCAAAAGTATCTTCTACTACCTTTGTTGCTGCAGATACACAGGTTGCATAAACATTTATCATCATGATAAGTCTGTATATGAAATAATTGCCCAGTCAACAAGTCAATTTTGAGATAAACTCACCAGTCCTAAACGACGAGGAGGAACAACTCAAGTTGAAAAAACTTTCATCCGGAAATGGCTCTCATAACAAGGCAAAATGAACCTAAGAATTTGCTCGAACTTGAACAAAGCATTCTACGATTTGAGAAACATATTCATCATTGTGTTTTCAAGATCTACAGAGAATGATTTTGGAGAACGCCTTAGCAAAGAAACTGTTCATTGTTCCATAACACAAAGGATGTAAGGCGCTGGGAAGGCAAATCAAAATAAAATTATAATCAATAAAGAGTTGATGATATCTAAATTGATAAGCAGTGATGTTAGAAACCCTTTCCCACACATAATGGGCTTGATACGGAAAATAACAAACAACATAAATGATAATAAGGACAAAAATCATTTTAAGTAAATCTTTCTCCGGGTCTGTGTTTTCGGGTTTGCTGTCTCTTCGGTTATTCTGTTCGAGCAGAACACTTCTTCGTTCCTCCATTCTCGCGCCATCTCGTAACTCTTGGAGTTCAGTTTCAACACCACAAGAGGAAGTAACAATCGAATCTCGATTTCTTCTCTTAATCTGCACAATTCGTCTCCTTAAGTTCCACGCCACCGCTCCGTAAGATGCCAGCATTATCACATAAGGTAAAGCGTAGTTCAGGATGAATCTGATGGCTACATAGGATCTATTATTTACGACAGACAGCTCCATGCATACACCATTTCTAAATCTGAGACCAAAGAAAAAGGGGCAGGCGATTGCAAATGACAACAGCCACAACCCAGATATGGTCAGAATTGTTATTGTCTTTACTGATGATGGTGTGCGTGGAAGAGGGTTTACAATGAATCTGTAACGATAAAAAGCGATGGCAGCCAGTGAGTAGATCACAACGAGAAGAGCAATTACTTGGAACGGATTCAAAATGCATGCAGCTTCTTGAAGAACGACGTCAGTTGGATTCTGCCCGCTCGCAAACATGACGGCCAAACAAACGCTGCTTAGAATTTCCGCGAAGGCCATGTTAGCGACGAGATAGTAGGAGAGAGGCTTGCGGGAAGGTATGGTACACACAGCATAACAAACCATCGAGTTGCCGATTATACTGGCCGAGATGATAACGGAGAACAGGATTAAACGGAAAATGTAAAGGGCTTTTGATTCTTCATACTGTTCGACCCAAATATTTGCTCCAATAGAGGAGGGCTCGGTTGAGTTTGTGATGTTTGTATAGTTACTGGACGGCATTTTGGTCTTCTTCAGCTGACACCTTAGAGGGTTTAAATCACATTGTTAGATCAGAATATTTTAGACTTTCGTGAGCTCTCGTGCCACTTCAAAGTTCAATGAGGCGAAAGAACTATTGCAACTATCAACAAAGAGGCTTTCTCAAAATTTGAATATCGTTAAAGGTTTCGCAATGATCTCGACAATAACACGCGATTATTTATGGATCAATGACTCATTTTATTTTGACTGTTTACCAGATAATTGCGTTGATTCTTGTTGTTTTGAATATTAGGTGTCACAGAGGAGCCGATTTTTGACATTTTGTTAAATTGATGTTTACTTTTGTTACAAAGTTTCGGCGAGAAAACGTATATCGATCATTAGAGTTAAAGGTGTCTGAAATGGGAAAAAATTATTTCTTCCTTCTGTTTTATTTTCCAGTTATTCTAGAGGGAGTCATCTTTGTATGCCGCTACTACAGATGAAGTGATTCCGTCGCCGGAATATTAACAACTCTTGAAAGGAAATACGTGTTCATCCGTTGACACATGTAAAAACTGAATACCGTCGACGAGGATAAGCATAAACACCAGTCCTTCATTTCATGGAAACCCATTTAATTTAGCAACTTAATCTGTTACTCGATATCAATATATTAAAACTGCTTCTTTTTTCTTTCCTCTTGACAGCGTGCACGGATGAATATATGTTTCTTCCTTTAATGACTGTGTAGAATTTTTTTAAAAAAGGTTAAATGTAAGTTAAGAGCCTTTACTAGTTTTGATAAAAGATTCTTGAATACTTTTAAAAACAGAGTTCTTTTACAACTATAAGAGAGTTCAAGGTCTTTAAAGAATATTTCAAGATACTGTGGGCCCTCACGGCGGTTCAGCCCCTCCATATTCCACAGAGGAAAGCCGTTAAAACTTCCGGAATCTAAGACAACTGGACTTCCAAGCCGCAAATGGCAATGTAATATTGTCTCTAAATTTAACCTAACGTGCGATGCAAAAGGAACGTTTGTAGTGACTTCAAAATTTTATGTCCTCTCACAAGTTGACTTAAAAATGTAATAAGCAGCTTCGTTGAGCTTCAAATCCATTTTCATTTTTTTTTTATGCGCGTTTCTCTGCTTCGATAGAATAACAAGTTGGAATGCGTTTCTCCGCACAATCGAATCCGTTTGTAATGTAAAACTCAAGATAACTTATGCAGGTTATTGAAAGCCTCGAAAAAATCGTTGGATTATCGCCATTTAACACTAATTATGTTTTTAGACGCAAACATCAAAAAAAAAATTTCCCTATGCTGTTCATAGTTTTGCGCAAAGTCTGCTGGTACCTTATCAAAATTTCAACTATTTTTTGCTAAATGCCTTCATGGCAACAATATCTCGATCAATCGCGTGTTATTTGAGAGATCATTTAGCAGCGTTTCATGTTGAAAAAGTGCTAATCTGAAAGCGAATAATTCACCACAAATTTCTTGATAATGAGCTTGAGGCCCGAGTACCAACTAAATTATGCGGCATTCAACGTGTATGTTTCTGGGAAGTTGTTTTAAGAGTTATTTCAGACGTCGAAGCAAAAGATGGCAAATTTGGTCGATCGATGTATGAAAACGAGTATACTTTGCCTTGTTTTCACCAAGTACTTTTTATTTCAGTGTCCAGTGTATTATTTGGTGGATTTGTAGCTACACAGCTGGTAAAATTTTCAAACGTACGGGAAGAACCCATTTCAGTGCTGTGATGTCCATCTTTCATTTCTAGCCAATCACGGACCGAAAATGAAAGACAATACTGTGAAATATTGTCTCTGTCGGCAAAACTACAGGAGGATCGCCACATCTTAACATAATGGAAAACATCCATCATTCTGCACTTCTCTCGACTTGCATTGTCAGTAGAATTTATAAGTTGGTCACGGTATCAGCTTGCGACCGAAATTCCTCTTTGCCGCAAATTTCAAGGGTAAAAATTTCCGCACAGCCCCATCCCACATTGTGCATTTAGTTCTTGAACAGAGAAAACAATGACAAAAACAACAAATATCCATTGGAAATACAGATTTGTTTTACAATAGTATGGGGGCTGTACGGAAACTTTACCATTTCAAGATAGGAAAAATTGGGTTAGAAATAATCGAACAAGGCCAGTTTAGGCGAGAATAAGCTAAAATAAACTATCTTGTATTAAACTACCTGTTGATCACTCCTGCAGATTCGCTGTGTGCTTGCACTTAAGCTTCAGCCTTTCATTGTGATAGTCACCTACTGACGAACAAAGCTCAACTAAAATATCAACACCCAACGGACAATTGTCACCTGCATAAAACGTTGTTTGGAAAATGCAATTATATTTAAGCTCTAAAGCTGTCAGAATATAAACCAATGAAAAGGGCTGAGTTTTACGCAACTTACCATTAAAGATGGCAATTTATTTTGTGTTCGTTTGGGTGCAGCAAAGTGTTCAAATAAGCACGTCCTACTAATTTGAAGAGTTTTGTGAAACGTGACATCTCCAACAAGAAATTCATTGTCTTAACTTCAGTAAAGCGATTATATAGAAAGAATTTGTGAAAAAATAAGCTTGAGCGCTTCGGTAATGCTCGTTTGTTCCCGCTATCAAAGTATTGAGAGCTGATCTTTCGATGGTTATCAACAAAAATAGTTATGACACTAGTTAACATACAGGAACACCGTTTAACCGTCACAGGTACACATATTTACCGAGGAAAAAGGATAAAACGTTGATCGTCTCTAACCTAAAAGTACTGAACACACACAAAAAAACAGAACCATGTAATAACGCTAGAACAAATATAACCTCTGAAAAGCTCTGTGGAAAATGAAAGCAGCATTGAAATTCTGTCATGAATATTTTTGGTGGCTTAAAACTCTTCCCTACTGAATAAGCTATTAAGGTTATTTTTCTTCGGTTTGCAGCGCATTCATTATTAATTGCCAACATTATATCCAGCAACAGAAATTAAATGTCAAACTGGTAACTATTTCATTACAGAAGCAAATACGAGATCGCAAGATGTAACTTTTTAAAATATTTCTCCTTAAATGATAGAATAAGAAAGCTATCAAAACAATCGAAACACAAAGTTTGGCGGTAACAGTTGTTGTTTCTCCTCGCACTGGGTAATTTTCATTCATTTCAAATCAATGAATTAAATTCTTTCAACCCTTCCAAACCCAGTTTGCTTCTCAATGAACAAAACTCATAAAAAGACACCATCATTTCTTGATGACATGTTTACTCCTTCATAACAACTTCAGCAGATGAGACAAGTGGAATAGTTATTTGAAAAACTGAGAAAAAATGTTCAAAAAATTAGATGTTTAGATGCACAGCAATTAAGGTGGCGAGGAAAACAAAGTAAAGTTTCGCCATTGAGGTTTAGAGGTGTCGTGACTTTCGCTCTTCTTTACGTCAAGATTGTTTAAATAAAGAGTTCACAGCATCTTGTGCGGTGACACAAATTCCCCGAGAAAACCTGTTTCGCAACTCGTTATAAAGTTTCCTCGCAAACTAAAATGACGCATTGAAGAGTGAATTCCAATTTTTCATCTTTTAATACTCCTTTGGGTTCTTAATCGTTAACTGCGCCAATAGTTTCGAAGTGTGCAAGAATTAAAGTCCAAGCAATCTTCACGACATGGCATTATATTTACTTCCCACGACCTACGAATATTTGAACCATTGTTTATGCAAACTACAATTAAAGGCCAGAACTTTCCATTGAATAAATTCAATTACTGCGGTGACAAAATGTCGAGAATCTTCTGTATTTGAACCACGTCCGCCGTCTTTTAATCTCACTCAAAGCATCCTGGAAGCTTCAAAATTTGTCTCCATTGGCGAAGTTTTTTCCTTCACCTTATCGCTTACTCCCTTTCAATCCTAATTGTCCATTTTAAAACTCCGGGCAAAGGTCTCCGCCACTAAGAGCGGAAAAACCAAGGAAGCGTCTGCATAAACCTAAAAGGAAATAATTATCATATATATTAACACTGGAATAATAAATAGCTCATTCACTCTTCCACCTGTATTCCATTTAACTACATTTGATCTGTAATACAACCACAAATCGCCACCATTCTCAACTGGTCTTGTTTCCACATGGATTAAAGACCGAACTGAAGTACTTTAATAAATGCAACAGCTTTTAAGTTTTCACAATTAGTTATTCTAACGAAACACCCTAACATTCGGTGGCAGTTGTTCCGTTCATTTATTTTTCTTTCATTTGGTCTGATAGTGTTTGACGATAGCATCCACAATATGGGGCTATAGAGCTCACCATAAACTCTAAATAATCGTGCTCATTGTTCGTAGCTTTAATTGCAAGCCTTAGTTTAAGTAGTATGTGACAAGAAAAAAAAAACAACAAAAAAAAAAGTGGCAAAATTGTCTATTTTCCGTTTCCGTTGGTCGCTTCCCAACTCTGCCAAAGGCGAAAGAAAATGTTATAACGCAACTATAAATTATACCGAGTTTCCACACAAATGTCACTCGCTAATGCGGTTTCCCTGACTACCTTCACTCTTATCAACAATTCTTTTTTCAAAAGATAATGAGAAGAAGTTGTTTTTCACCTTTACAGGCGAAGCTGTCATCTTAATTTTTCCCCAGGACACAGCTTCATCAGGTCTGGCACCTGAGTCACTTCCGTCAAACTCCTGGCCTGTGTTGACGAACACAGAGAAGTCGGCGCCATTACGCTGAATAAGGAAACCAAACTGTCACATAATCTTGTCAAACAAAAGGAGATACCTAACATCTCTTGCTGATCCAAACAGCAGGCTGAATACGTAATATATTTAACCCTTGTAGAAGCTTAGCTAATTAACGAGACCTAATAGTGCACGACAGTGCGTTTTTGGAGGTCAGTGGTTCGAATAGTCGCAGGAATTCTGATTTTCTCCTTCGTCCCAACCTTGAGAAAAATTAATAACACTTTTCGTTATTCAAAGACCGAACTGAGAATTAAACAACTTTCTTAACAAGTTTATGACAAATCTCTCAAAATTTAATTTAATTGGAGGTATGAACTGAGTAGGTATGTACTGGGAACTCACGCGCCGCAGCGAAAATGGAAACCTAACAAAATTTTGGGGGCAAGGTGGGGTGGGAGGCGAATGCGATAGACAAAAACGTCGGTCAAAAGGAGTAGCACTACTTCTTGTCACTGCATGCATGCGAGGCTATTTTGAAGGCATAAAGGGAGTAAGTTTCTAAAGAAACTGAGGTACTGCGTCGGTGGGAAGGTATAGCAGGTAATTTAGTGTTAACAACTGAGTTGAAAAAGTAAATTGGCCGCCGTAAAGGGTAAAAAAGCTAACGTTTCGAGCGTTAGCCCTTCGTCAGAGCGATTGACGAAGGGCTCTGACGAAGGGCTAACGCTCGAAACGTCAGCTTTTTTACCCTTTACGGAGGCCAATTTACGTTTTCAACTCAGTTGTTAACACTAAATTACCTGCTATTTTGAAGGCAGACTCTCACCCCACCCCCCTCCCTTCCCAAACCTTAGAATTGCTGTTGAAACAATGCTTGGAATGAAAAAATCTCAACTCGTGAAGGCAGTAGAGGACTTTTAACTAAGGATTTCTAAACAGAATAGAATGGGCCTCGGCAGTTGGGAAAGTGGATATCAGCATTCAATGGTTTAATCGTTTTCCAACCGGTTGGCGCACTGCAAAGCTTATTAAGGCAAGGAAATGCTATTCTATCCAACTGAAACGGCCAAATTTTAAAGGTAGCTGATCACTCGATATTTTTTTATCTGTGGTAGTTACCTATAGTCAAAATACCGTTTGGAAATTTATACAACCTGGGCATCTGCTATTAAAATAAAGTGTTTGGAGGTACTTTTCTGTCCTCTGCAAAATGACGCAAGGAAATGCCTAACTTACAGAACGTGGATCAAGCCCCACTTTTAATAGCTTTGATTAAAACAAAAGTAAGCAAATAAAACAAATTCAGACCAAAATGAGCGTCACTCTTGGTGACCACTTCTTCGTTACTGAAGCCGAATAAGCACAGGAAATGCCGAGGAGAGGAGGAAATTTAAATGAAATAATAAATTGAAGCGATAAACTGTCAAGGATTGAAGATGTCACAGCACTAGAGCAGGATGTTGAAAGTAACTCACCATTAGATTTGCGTTGCATATGTGATGCTTCATTAGACCGCCTCCTAAAATTATCATCCCTGTATTTTTGGCATATACTGATATATTGTTCATTTTCCTAATATCTGAAAAAAAAAATAGTTAAATAAATTGGTAATAAAGGAGCTACTCGTCTATAGTTCAATAATCAATGATCTGAATTGAGCATCTGAATTTTCAGTTAGAAATCTTAAATTGGCTGATATTTCTTTCAGTTCCAATTTAACTTGAGCTGTATTTTTCATTAGCATCCATTTGGTACTTATTATAACACATTTAACATTTGATAAGATCCAATTTCAACAGAATAAGACAAACAAGGTTCTCCTTACCTTCTACAATATCAATAACTAAACCAGGATTCTTGTAGGAGTGAAAATACAGTGTATCTCCAAGTGCTCCATCTGTCAGTGCTGGGTTGAAAATTGGAATATTATTCTGTTGAAAAAAGGGAAAAAAAACCTTCTACTCAAATAGAGGTTCATTCCACAACTGATCCAAAACGTCAATCCTCTTTTACTATCTAAGTTGCTATTGCAACTGAATAATTAATCTTGTTCATCATACCTTGTAAGCCCAATAACAGACTGAATCTGGGTGATTTATTTCTTTACCTAATCTTGAAATAACCTTTGATGGAGTCCATTTTACACCCTGCAGTTATTGAAAAGAAAATATTGTAATCTTAGACCTTGAGGTACTCTGAAGAACTGCTTAGACAATGCCAAAAGCACCCTAAACATGGGGATAACTCAAACAATCATCAAACTGATGATTAGCGTATCTCCAAAATGTTTCTAAGACTCATAATCCTCAAATAGGAATGTCTAATCTATAATCAAACCTTTTCAAAACTTTGTTCAAAGCATCTTTATTTAAATGTACAAGAAGAATCACAAATGTCATATAGCAGACTTCTCAACAAAGTACATTACAATTTGCCTTTTTTTTTTACTCTTTGTGATATTCTGAAATAGTTACAATTAGCATAGTCAGGTAAAAAACTTGTATCCACTTTTAAAAATCTTCCGTAATTACATAATTCCATTAGTTTCTTAAGAATTAATAATGATGTTTCCATTAGCATCTGAACAGACTTAAACCCAATGAATATTGTAATAATAAATTATAATTAATGAAAAAAAAAGTTTATTTAAGATACCTGTGTATTTTGTTCTTCAAGCATCTTATCCCACAGTGGTAAAATCCACTCCTCTAATCTACAGTAATTATTGTTTGGTACAAGCAAATTCCCAATTCTGTTTATGCCTTTTTTCCTCAGCTCAACACCTCGCAGTGAGAAGTCACCAAGGTATGATGGAGCCATACATTTTATAAGATCTTCTTCTATACCACCAGCTGTTGTAGCAATACAGTCAACCTAAATCAAATTATAAACAAACTTTAGTAAAATGCACAAGCAGCATCATTGATGTTGATTAGAATGAGTCTTTTTAGAACTTTATTATGCACATGATTCCCTCCAAGTTCATTAAATCATAGCATATACTTTAAGTCCTGGAGGAACATTGTCAAAGTCCGATAAAAGATTATCCTAAAAAGTGGCCTTTACCTTTTGCTATCTTGAAAAGTTTCTAATTAAAAGAAACAGTAGTGCTGCATCAGCGAGGGGTATTATATGATAATTTGGATTGATCTACCAAGTTGATTATGTGGTTTGGCCACCACAGAGAGGTTCTAAAGCTGACATTTTGAGTGTTACCCCTTCATGAGAGCCAATCCTTTGGTTTAAGAACTTCTCTACAATGGCCAGTTCACATTATCCTGAAAAGGACTGCTGTTTGCTGAACTGTCAGTTGCTGGAAGTCATCATAGTTCTAATATGTGCTGCCCTAACTAAAGGTGACTAGTAGACATTGACCCTGATTCATTGCTAAAGTTTTGTGACACAATCCATTTAAGGCAGCAACAATGTGTATACCTACCATATTGTTTTTGACTAAGTATTTAATTGTTTCCCGTACACCACTTGAAATCATGTTAGATGTAAATCCAAGGAAGATTGTGCAATTATCAATTGGGCGCTGACCAGGATCAAGATAATCGCAGTTTGATGTGCCATCTTCAGGTGCTGGAAGAGGTTCCAACTTCCTTTTTATCTAAATAATCAAAAGAAACTTAGGGAAAAAAACTACAAATACAAGGAGGTCATTTATGGCCTAAATACTCCCAGAGGCTGTGCTTACATGTATACAATAAAGGTTTCATTAAAATGACTCAGTGAAGATCAGGGTCAGATTATGCAGATGAAGATTTTCTGGTTTCTGTATCAGGAAATGACAAGTGGTGCCATTACTTCTCAAGTTAAACATAAGTCTACAAAAAATTGCAATCATGTAGCACTTTATCAGATTTCCCTCATTGGTCACAGGCCCCACTTATGGTCCTAAGTGGAGAAAGGATTGTGTGTCCTGCTCAATATGACACAACTCACCAATCAGATATGGCCTAATGGTTTGAACCCAGTCCTCTATTAGCTTGACATGCATTATTTAACTATTCTTCCAGGAGTATTGCAACTCCCCCTTGATGGGAAGCTTATTCATGATCTAAGACAACATCCACCATTTCATCGCATTTCTTCGTGGGTATAGTAATAAATTATACTCTTGAGTGTAGAGAGGTACTGTACGTGTAAAGACTAAGTGTCTCATCCATTCAACAGAAAACAATGACCCAGGTCATGGCCTTAACCTGGACTTCCTATTCCAGTTTAACAATAGCAACCATCGTGTCTCTCATGCCATCGGTTGGGTGATAACTCAAGGAGACGGAAAAACAAAAATCCGTCTGAGAAAGGGGAGGGAGCGGCGAAAAAGCAGATGCCGTTTGAGTAAGCTCCTTCAAGGGTCTAGTGAAATGTTTCCTATGGCTGAAAGTGAAGGCCAAATCCTCCCTGAAGCGCTTCCCTGATCCAAGGAAACCTTCAAGATACCTTATCTAACCGCCGTCCCACTCACCATGTTGTTAATTTCTACCACTGCTTTTCCAAAGTTGCTGGCCTGAAATCCGGTAGTTCTGTACGACTCGAGTAAAGCGTGATAATCCACTCCATTACTGAAGTCATAACCTCTCACTTCTTCCGAGCCTGGCGGCATAGGTTCACTGGATGCGAGAAGTGCGTCCTTCACTAACTGAGGTACGTCCGCCATCTTTGATTTCCACGCTGCTTAGATCCCAGCCTCTTGGTTTGTTTCAGGAATAGATAAGTCTGGGACTGAAACTAAATTAAAATGGCGGCCATAACTGTTCTAAATCGTAGCCGTCATATCACAAGAAACTTTCATAATCCTTGGAGAATATTAAAGGGAAAACGTTTTGTATCAGCAGGTAAACCTTGATTATTACAATTTGTTGGGAGAATTTGTCTTTGTTAGATGAAACAAGAGAGATTACCTCTGTGATGACTCAATCGACGAGACAAATTACCAAGCTAGCGTAGCTCATCGAGAGATTCTTTTAAGCCTGTAGCACAAAATATTTCATTTCTCCTTACGAACCAGCTTGTTATTACCCTGCCTCCTTTGCAAACTGAGCCTCACCGAGCACCACACCATCACTTGGCACTTATGGTTCTAGAACAATTTGTTGATACCAAGTGATGGTGTGGCCCCCCTGAGTAAGTGGTCACAAAACAAACAAAGCACTGTGAAAGTAAGGTGTGGTATTTGTTAAGAATTTGACTGTATTTTTACTTCCCTAGAGCTGTCATAAATATTCCAATACAGACTCTTATATTTTTTGCCTTGAACCTTATTTTGCAAGATGATTATCTCACAGCTGGAGCTTGGGCTACCTGTGTTTCAATAGGAGAAAATGAAAAAAGAGGATTACATTTTGTGATTTAAGCATTCTAAACTTTATTTTATCTTTCAAAATATCTTAACTTTTAATGACTACATGGAAGATATTCTATGGAATTTGTATAAATCTAGGGATTCAGGTGAAGATGATAGCCAGACTTTCTACTCCTTCTGTGAAATCTTTGCAAAGCAGCATTATTTCACAGCAGGGGATACAAATCAGAACTTACCAGTAAGAACAGCAAAAAAAATTTGTGTGGATACAAAATCAATATCTGGTATATGTTATTGTTTTTACACATTCATTGTTTTTTTTCTGTGATTTGAATTTTCTTTAGGAGATTAAATTTTGTCTTTAAAAATTTTGCCAGAATTTTTATTTGTGTGTCCTTTATTTAGTAAAATTAAGTATCAGTAAGGTAGATGGGAGACTAAGCCATTTCACATTTTGTCCAAAAGGGTTAGAGTTTGATGACGCCATTAGCGACAGCATCCCTGGTTGGGAGGATGATATGGAAGAAAGCAACCAATCACATGATGGATTTCAGCTTTATGAGTCACATATCCCCACATCTATGATGCAGAAGGTGCTACTGACAACTGGGTCTGCCCTGATGGCATTGTACAATCCAGCAAGAGCAGGTAACGGACATTGTTTGTTTGTAATAATGGTATAAATCTCCATCCTGTGACTATTGAAGATAACTACTTCTTACCCAGTCACCTTTGGATCCTGATATGACAAACCCCTTTATGAGAAAAACTGATGACAGTAATCAGCTTTCTTCAGTAAGGTTTCTTCACCCACTGCAATCTTTATCTAAGAAGACTTCATCTGCAGAAAGCATAAAAAATACAGCCCATTCTCCTAAATTTTT